GGGTGTCTTCAAAGCCAAGGTCACTCAAGAGGCCGCGCAGCCATGTCGACTCGCGGGCGGCTTCGGTGGCGGCGATGTATTCGGCTTCACAGCTTGAAAGTGCGGTGATGCGTAGACGGATGCTCTTCCACATGAGCGGGCCACCCAAGATCGACCATATGAAGCCGGTGGTAGAGCGACGGTCGGGACGTGTCGCCCAGCTTGCGTCGCAGTACCCGGACAAGGTAATTTCCCCTGAACCGAAGCTGATCCCCCATGTTGGAGTCCCCGCTAGGTAGCGCAGGACTCGTTTGGTGCCGAGGGGGTACGGCGCTCGAGGGTCGTGGAGATGGTAGGACAGGAGTTGTACGGCGCGGGCGATTACCCCATGGTGTGTCTGGTGCACACCATGAGGTACAGTATACGAGCATCCAACCATGGCACGGTACTCCCCTTGATCCACAGTCGGTTGTTGCTCATCATGCCATAGGTCTTCTTGGTCAGCGACTTCAGGGGTGGTGACGGGATGGCAGTTGGCCAGTCTGAATCGTTCGAGGACCTTGGAGGCGTACGCGTCTTGGCACATGCTAAGCAGTATTTCTTGATGGTGGCGGTTGATGCGAATTCCAAGCAGGTAGTGAACGGGACCTTGGCGTTTCAGCTCGATCATGGTCGCAAGCTCTTCCACGGCTGCATCCATGTTGGCCTGGGTTGGGGCGGCGATGATGAATTCATCGACATATGTGCCGAGGATTTCCAAGTCTTCTTCTTGGCCTAGAGTGAACACACATGGATCGTGGGGGCTTTGCTGCCAACCGAGGGCGGCTATTTGTGCCTTGCAGTGCTTTTCGAACCCGTGGCCGCTCTGGTTCAGTCCATAGAGCGCCATGGTAACGAAGGCTGCCATTCCTGGTTGCGTTTCGTGTCCTTCAGGTTCGACTGCCCATATGGGCGTGATTAACTTGGCTTGAATTAGGCGTTGACAGCGTCAGCTTGCTCGATGACCATGTTGCGAGCGGTTGCGACGGCGAATATGGTATGGACGGACGTCATCTTGATCACATTCGATGACGACTCTTCGTAGTGGATGCCGCGACTTGTGAGAATCCCTTCAAGACCCAGCGCGCCTTCCACCGGACAATGGTACCTTCGGCGTCGGTCTTGCGGGCGTATGTCCAGCGTCCCTTGATGATTTTGCGGCTGGCGGTGCGACGGTCCAACACTTCAATGCGGTAAGTTGAGCGACTTCTGCTTCTTCGGCAGATTTCCAAAGTAGCCATTCTGGTGATGCCATTGCTTCCTTGTGGCTGTTAGGGACCGAGGGTGTAGCGGTACGGCCGCGCATGCGTATTCTACGCCATCGAGGCGGTACGCGGTCGTGTGTTCGGTCGGGTCTTCATTGTTGTTGTAGCCTTCTAGTTCTGCGTCCAAGGTGTCGAGGGGTCGTCGTCGTATGCGAGTGACGCGTACTTGGGGTTGGGATGCGGTTGTCTTCGGGGGCGTTCGGATTGCGTGCCGCGATCGGCTGTGGTGTGCGTCGGTGTGTGTTGCTCTGTGAATTCGGGTGCGAAGGAAGGTGCGTAGTCGGCTGCGTATGATGGCGGCTGACGTGGTACCTTGAAGTGTGAACGGTATGCCTCCAGTTGTGGTAGGAATTCCTGGCGTGCGGTGAGCTCACGGAAACGTGTTCTGTGGCGTGGTTCCAGCGTTGTCGTTGGCGATTGTGTGTTCGATGAGTTAGCGTGGTCACGGTGGTGCTGCGTTGTTGCGGCGTGTCGGCTTGTGGTGCAGCGAGCCGTGTCGGTGCAGTTGTCGTGCTGGTGCGTACTGGTGCTGCTGGTGCGTGTTCGTGCTGGTGCTGTCGTGTTGTTTGTGCGTGACTGTGCTGCAGGGGTCGGCATGATGGCGTCGAAGGTGGTATCGACTTCGTTGCGGTCGGTGTTGACGGCAGATTCGAAGGTGGTGGGAGCAAAGCGGAGGGCTCGTTGTAGTTGCGTGGTCCGCGATGTTGGTGCCGGCGTGGTGTCATCGTCGTCGTCGTCGATGGTGTCCGGGAGTGGCGAGTCGTTGAAGAACTCGTTCTCCATGAAGATGGCATGGACCCCATGGGTCATCTTCTGGTTTTCAACGTCGTACAACTTGTAGGCCTTCATGGAGTCCATATACCCCATCATCACGCAGAGCGTGGCCTTGGGTGCGAGCTTGTTGCGTCGTTCGGGTTTTCACTAGCTTGAAGCACTTGCAACCAAAATCTCGCATTTTGGCCAGCGACGGTGAGTGGACGCTGAAGAGCTCAATCGGCGTCTTGGTGCACTTGGTTGTTTGCAGCACGCAGTTGCAGATCTAGGCTGCTGTGTTGACTGCTTCGGCCCACCAGCGTTGGGCCAGGTTGGCGTGTGTGAGCATGGCCATGGCCATCTCCATCAATGTGAGGTGGGTACTTTCCGCCACGCCATTCTGCCATAGCTCCCCTGGCGAGGATATTTCATGCTTGATCCCCTTGGAGTTGAGTAGGTCTTCAAGTTGGTGCAATGTGTATTCGGGACTTCCGTCCGATCGGAATACTTTGACCTTGCTGCCCGTTTGTCGTTCAGAAAGGGTGATGATTTCTTGTAGGTTGGCTGTCTGTTGAGCGGCGCTGGTCGAGTGCACGAAACGAACGATCTTGTAGCCGGTGCAGTCGTCGATGTACGCCGTGTAGTAGCGGCCCACCGATGCGACAGGTAGTGGTCCCTTGGTGTCCGAGTGCCAGCACTTACCTGGCTTGTAGGTTCTTGTTCTGCGTTTAGGGACGGTGATGCGGTGCATCTTGGCGCGGGGGCAGTCCATACATGGTCGGTCCATGTCGGTGATTCTTGGCGGCAGTCCAAGGCCGGCTTTGGCGCATGTTCGGAGCGCTTCAACGGGTATGTGGCCGATGCGATGGTGCCAACGGGCAGTCGGGTCGGCGACAGTCGCGGCTGAGTTAGCTGATTCGTGGGTGAACACTCCTTCCAGGATGTACAATCACTGATCGTTGCTGATTGTAGCGCGGACCACGGTCTTCGATCCCAAGAGGATGGTACATGTGTTACGCTGGAATTCCACGCGGATCTTGGGGTTTGCGCGCATGAGGGCTGGAACGGACAACAGCGTCGTTGTCATTCCCTTGATCAGCAGGACGTCGGTCAAGGTGAGTGTCGACGGGGTCGGTGTGCTGATGTTGAGCTTGCCCATAAGGGTTGCCGTGGTGACTCCGCCGTTGGCGACGATGACTTGGCGATTGCATGGTGTCTTGGCGTACAAGTGGTCGGTCGTGCCAGTCATGTGTGTCGAGGCGCCAAAGTCGATCACGATGTGGTGTTCGATGGTACGTGTGTCGCAGTCTTCGACCGACAGTGCCATGTCGGCTTTGTTGTCGCAGTCTTCTGAAAATGGTGTGTCGGCTTCATCTTCGCTGTCGTCGTTAGGTTGTGGGGATGCGAGGGACGACTCGGTTTCGAACTCCGGCTCAACCTCGTCTTCGCTTGAGGGTGCCGGTTCGGTGTCGGCGGCGGTGCCGATGGGATGGAGGTACATGTGACGTCGCTATGTGTCTCTGATATCTTCTGTTGTTGCCGAGAATCGTGGGTTGGGGAAGAGGAATTCGGAGATCTTGGCGGCTCAGGAAGGTCAGCTTGTACGAGGTCCCCCGATGGAGAGTTGTCTGACTGGTTGACGCGTAGCTGACCAGTCTGGGTCGGTGCGGAGTGGAAGGGTTTCGCCGGGTTCCCCAAGGTAGATGGGTTCAGTGTTGCCGGCATCAATGACGGTGGGTTGGACGCCTTCGTCTTCCTTCGATTTGTCGTCTGAGTTGACCATGTCTAGGTCCTGTCCGTTCTCGAACATTGAGAACATGTAGATCGCTGCGTTGGTGTGGTCTTCCTTGGTGTCGCGCATCTTGGCTCCGTGGCGGCTGCTTTCGTGGGCCTTCTTGCGGCATTCGGTCTGCCAGTGCCCAGTTTTGCCGCAGTAGCAGCAGGTGCCATTGGATGAAATATGCTCTCCCCGTTTGCTAGGAGTGATTCGTAGGCTGTGCGGACATGCTTCATGCCCTCGCTATGGCGGTATTGGCTGGGCTCGATCGTCTCGATGAGGATCCCCAGTGCCTTCTGGTGGTGGATGCTTGGTTGCATGCTGAACGATGCGGTAAGTTGGTCGTGCATACCCTTCGCCATAAGTCTTCCGCGGAAATAGGTCTTCCAGTCGCTGAAGTTGTGCTCGTTGAGCGTCAGTGTGGCGGTGATGTTCGCCATCCTTCCTATTTGTGCGTGTGCCGGGGTTTTGGGTTCAGAACCTCTTGAACTAATGCGTGTGGCTGTGTGTAGGACGACAGCCAAACAGAGGGTTACCGGCTGCAAGCGATTAGCAAGCGACTCAGGACCAACGTGGCAAATCGAGAAGTGAATTGATGTTGTTAGTAAAGCTCCTTTCCTATGTTCAGTTGTTCTTCCTACTGGCGTATGCATGACGAGCTTGAAACTCGTCCTTCAGCGACGCTACGCCGTCGCTGGT